GTTAGTCATACATATATTTATTATAATATATTTTAAAATTATTAAAAATATATATATATATTGAAAAAATGCTATTTTTAATGTAAAAGGCAATACATATTATGATTGCTATTGAAGTAAAAAAATGTATAGATTATTTTTATAAAATAATATATATATATATATATTGATTTACTAAAATATACAAATATATATTTATATATACAAAATTTGTACAAATTATAAATAGCATATCAATATCACGTATGATATTGTGTTTGACAATGTATTTATATTTCACTTAACATTGATTTTTTGTATGTCATTTGATTTTTATATAAAACCTCAATATTTGTGTTGTGATTAACAAACTATTAATACTTTCACTATGATTGATACATTCATACAAAAAAAGAGTTGTATAGTATTATATGTCAAATTTGAATTGGTTACGAAATTTATTGGTTAATATATTTTTTTTAATTTGCTAGAAGTTGTTTATGCTTATGAGTGGATATAATCAATAATGGTAATAATATAAAATGATAATAATAATAATACTGATATTGTTATTTCATAAAAAAATAATATTTATAATAATATTGAATGACAGATGATGTTATCGTTTCTATATACTGTTAATTTAGTGCTAAATTGCTGCAAACATTATATTATAACTAATATAATGTAGTGTCTACAGTATAGATAATTGTAGATAAAAACTTTATCTATGATATATATAATTTTACTGTATCTTATTTTATCATATTTGTTTACTGTATTTTTGCTATCATATCAAACAATTTACACTTATGTAACTTATCGATAACATGGTATTTACTATGAGAGAAAGAGAGAGAGAAAGAGAGAGAGAGAGAGAGGCAGATATAAAAATATATTGGTAACCATTTACGGTAGGGTATAGTAAGGAATGAGTTCAAACATAAGCAACCAAATTGCCGACAATTGTTGGATATTAACGGCTATTTTGTTTTTGTTAGTTTTTCTATGCCTATGCTATCTATATATACGTTTTATTGGACTATTTTTTGTTTGAATAGCTAAAAAACTACGAGACTAACGCCGATATCAATAAATCTGTTAATACAGATTAAAAGTATTGAATGAAAAAAATAGTATTTTATATATTTTTGTGTGTTTCTTATGTTATTTGCTAAGCAATTGTTTTTTATGGTGATGTTGTTGTTGTTGTAGGCGATGATCATCATATCACTGTTCAAAACATGTGCACAGATAAACTACATAATTATCCAGTATAATTTGATATTATAGTATATAACTACACTTTATATATAAAAAAACTAAATTAAAATAAGAAAATTTCTGATAAATTCCATTAATTGTAACCTTGGTTAATAATAATCTTTGTAATTCATGGCAATAACCTTTAAAAAAAATAAGCTTAGCTCTATGGATAATAATTTACATTGAATTGGCTTAAATATTTTACTCACCAAGCTCATTACTAATTTTATTGTAAATATTATTTAATATTTTATTGTAAATATTATTTAATATTTTATTCAAAAGTATTATTTTTTCTATATTTAATTAATATAAAAATAAATGTCAACACTACTACTACATTGTCTTATAATGACATTTTTAAAACTATTAAATTATACATATACTATATTTCTTGTAATAAGCAATATTTTTTAGTTAATATTATATTGAAAACTATTTTAATTTTTGTTAATACTTTTGTTAATTGTGTTTTTATAATAATAATAATTTAGTTTTTTAGTTTATAACTATACAACAAAGACATATTAATATATCAAATGTATTACAGTATTTAGGATTTGAATCAAAGTGTTGATCTACAGTATTATTCTGTAACTATATATCTACTATATATCAATATAATTATATCGACAAAAATTTTGATGATTAATACAGTAAGTATAGTAAAATGTAATATATATATATATATATATATATATTAAAATTGCCTAAAGTATTATAATTATGAATTTTTGTCAATTAGATTATTGTTTTTTTTATTTTAGCAAAAAGTTTCTAAATTTAAATTTCTAGTAAATTAAGCTAATTTGGTAATTATACTAAAGTTATTTACGTCAAAAATTAAACTTAAATGAGTTAAATAATTTAAAAATATTTTTTTTAATAAATGAAATAATTATATTTTAATAAAAATATATTGTATATAATAAAAATCCCCAAAATAATTATTATATATTATGAACGATATTTTTGTTATTATGCTACTAAACATGAAAAACTACATATTATTTATAATCAGTGGATTAAATCATAATTATTGTACATAAATATTTATTAAACTATTAATTTATAATTTACTAATAAGATTTTATCGGTAATTATGAATAGTCAATTTTCTATATTCAATATATGAAATTTTCTAATAAATTTTATTTATTAATTTTTGTGTAATAAAAAAATAGTATATTTATTACACACTGTAATATTAATTTATTTTTAGTAATTGCTATAAATTAATAAATATATAAATAATTTTTAGTTTATTTATTATTAATTTTCATACAATAATTTGTTACATTTGTTTACATAAAATTGTATCATTTATTTTATTTGTCAGTTATTTGTCGGCAAACTTAGCATAAAAATATTTTTAAAATATTTATTTCAGTACAAATATATTACTGTTATTATTATTATTATTATTAATATTATTATTTTTATTAATGCACTCCTTAGCAAAAATCGTAATCATTATAACGCCAAATCATATACAATAGTTTTTTAAAGAAAAATAATCGACATTTATAAAAATATTTTACATTTTTTCTGCACTTAAACTTTATGTATATTAGTTGTTAACGTAAGAGAAATCTATATATAGTTTATATATATATAAATATAAATATTTGTCAATCAAAACAAATTAGTTTTGAAATTGTATATAATAATCGTAAAAATATGTATTAATATTTTTTCACACATACAATATAAATATTGTATTATTCGCTACAAAGTTGGCGTTTAAAAATAAATTGGTATAAAATGTATATTAAAGCAATGTTTTTTTATTTATATTATAACTGCAAAATTATGTTTATTTAATAAAAATATGACAACTATTTTTTTGAGAAAACACTTTTATATCCATTTAATTATTATAAACACTAATTATATTTTTAGTTTAGCACTAAATATATTATTTAAAGTTATAAACATAAAACTGATAATAATAAAGATTAGCCAAATTTTTAAAAAACTTTTTATGTAAAAAATAATAAAATTTTTTATTAATATAAATATTGGAAATAATTTTGCTGTTATGACAAAATAAAATAAAAACAAATTTTACATATCTATATTTCCTAAAATACTAATATATTATTATTATTATATTAAGTAAAATATGTAATTTTGCAAAAAAAAATCTTTATACTAATAATCATTGTTAATATAATTATTATTACAACTATTATTAATAGAAATCTTTTGAAAATAAAATTATAAATTTCTATTATTTTATTGATAATTATACATATTATTCATTTAGATAATAAAATAATTAAAGTATAAAAATTAACAAAATATAATTGAAACATACTTTAGGAATACGTAAAATACTGTTTATTATTATTATTTTTATATTGACATAACAACTACTACTAGTACTATAGTAACACATAAAAAACATACCATTTGACTGACACATTACATAACTATTTTGTTGATCATTTAGACTAATTAGCAAACATTTTATTAATATTATTTCTGTTTGTTCGCATATCACTCTATAATTTTATGGTATGTTATTATTATAGAAAAAATTTATTTACATTAAGTACTGTTTTTACACTTTATTTTTTTACCGATGTGTGTGTATATATGTTTAACACCCAAACACAACCAGTGTTTTCTTAACCATTTTTAGCACTCGTTATTCATATAATACTAAAAAACTCATATAAATATGTGAGGGTTTTTGTATACTCTCTCTCTCTCTCTCTCTCTCTCTCTCTCTCTCTCTCTCTCTCTCTCTCTCTCTCTCTCTCTCTCTTCTGTAATAAATATTTTTTTCTAACTATTTGTTTTGTGTGTTGTTTAAGACATTATTGTATTTTTAAGAGAAAACGTTTCCGTTTACAACAATAATGATAACAATACTAAATAGGATTTTCAACCATCAAAAAGAAAAACAAAATATATATTATACATATATATATATAAAAAAAATCTATTTTAATAGTCATATTTAGAAGTAAAATAAAAAGTTTTTTTCAGCACATACTGTATGTCTAACTTTTTATATTATTGTTTTAGTAGTAGTAGTAGTAGTAGTAGTAGTAATTGTTGTTGTTTTTAAGTATTATGTTATTTCTAGAAATTAATTATCCATTACTATTATGATCAGAATCTAACATGAAAACAAATTAATAATTATTATTATTTAATATTTTAGACAATTATTGCTAATTATTAGTTACTTTACTAAATATTACAATTTTTGAGAATTGACTAAAAAAATATAAATGTTGTTATTTTTAAAATTACAAATAAAATGTTTATAATAATACAGTATTAATACAATACATTGAATATTTCATTTACGTTAGTTATATTCAATATTTTCTCTTCTTATAGCTAAAAAAATTATGATAATTTTTTTAATTATGAAAATTATCGATGTATTACTAAATGCGTTTACATGTAGTAATATGAGATATTTAATTTAATATTTTACTTATCATAATTATTGTTATGTAAATAAAAATTTTAATTAAATATTGATGATTATTATTATTCTAGTAAAATACAATTCATTATTCAATAAATTATGGTATATGTCATTATAAATGATAAACAGTTTTAATTGATTATAAATTCAATACACATTACTAGTCAATACTATCTTATCAACAAAAAAAACAATTTCTGCTGAACTATTTATATACTATAATGTCTAGAATAGTATATAATGTTTGTATAGTTAGTTTCTCATATAATTTATTTTATTACTATTGTGTATAAATATAGTATTT